CCCCTCCCAGCAGCAAGTGGCGCAACGTGGCTGCGGGGGGTGACGTTGCGGGTGTTGGTGGCGGTAGTTATCTGGACATGTGGGATCGGCGGGCGGGGGCTCGTACGGCTAACTACCCCAACGTCATCATTCGCAGCCCCGCCAGTATGTCCCCGGCGGCTGCCTCCCTGCAGCACCACCCGCAGCAGCAGCAGCAGCAGCACCACCACCACCAGCAGCAGCAGCCCCAGGTGTGGTGATTAGGATGGTGGAAGAATGATGAGCGTGTGAAAGCTTCTGTTGGTGGAATATAGTGCCGGGTAGAAGTGGGGGTGGGGGGTGGGGGAGGGACGGTCGCCTGGCCTATGCCGTGATCTGTGGTCCTGTTTAGGACACACGGCGTGTCACACGTCCCCCCCCTTCTCCTACGATAACAACCCCTATATGGAGAGTTCTCCAACCCGCATCTTCGCCGCCTCCCTCCTCCTACCTACCTGTCCCTTACCCCCTTACCTCCTCACTGTGTGCTCCTGTCTGCAGACTCCAACCGGCTCCGCCCACTCCCCCCTCTCCGCCTCCGCCTGCGCCACCACCCCGGGTAGCGGTGCGGGTGGGGGGGTGGGGGGCTCCCTGTGGTCGCTCCAGTCCGGAAACCTGTCGGAACTTTCTTCTGGAATGTTCGGAGAGGCCCAGGTGAGGAATGTGATTTGGGGGGTCTGTACGGAGGAACGGTTACGGAGCGGTTTTGTACGCGAGGGAGGAAAGGGACTAGGGAGAGGATGTTGAGGGGTTGGCGAGAGAGAGAGAGAGAGAGAGAGGGGAATTGGTGGTGGTGGTGGTGTGGTGGGGGGGGCCGGGATGTTGGCTGACTGGCTGGCTGTCTGTCGGGTGGCGGGGGCAGAGGTGTTTCTGGTAAAGGATGGGGGGAATGGGGGAGAGTAAGTTTTAAGCTCTAAAAAGCTACCCCACCTCACCTCACACCTCACACCTCACCTCACCTCACCTCGCTTCACCTCGCCCTTTCTTGACTTCCAACCACCCGGGGCAATCCGACAATTTATTGCGACACCCCACCCTGCAGTCTCCGCAGCCCCGTACGGGCTCCGTGTCCGGGGCCAGC